ATTCCTTGGAGCAGACAATGACAATTTTCCCCAGATTCGCACTGGCATTATCACCGCTCTGCAATCCTAGGTTCCTTCAGCCTGGAAATAAGAAAGCTGGGAGCCCTTCTGAATCCTGTTTCTAACCTCTTTCAACCTACAACAGCCTCTAAAACACATTATAAGAAAAACAGATTGCTCTGTCTATCCGTTATGGGAAGTAAGCAAACATACTTGCAAGAATAAAACAGCACACAAACAACAAATCAGTAATATTGGAAAAATCAAAGAGCAGCCAAAACACATTCTCAGTTTAAGGAAGCTTTTTCTTATATTCCTGATCTGTTGAAATAGAAATAACTGAGACCTCCTCCTTTAAACTGAAAAGCCTCATCATTCCACAAAAACTTTGAGACAGCCACAGTCTCAAAACTCACATCCACAGAAAGCTATATTTTGACAGACACTGATGACAGGAGCAAAGATGAAATGTTCTTAATATGCAGACAAAGAAAATATGTCTTTTTATTTTTAAGTTCACAATGTATTTATTTCTCCCCTCTGCCTTCCTAACTTCCTCCCACCGAGCTAAGTTGTGTCATCAGGCAAAAAGAAAAAATTCACACCAGTTAAAAGAGTTTTAGTTGTGAAAGAATTCTGATACAGTGATAGTCCTTTTGGTAAAAATAGAAAGCATGACACTTGGAAGTGAAATATCTATTGAGAAAAAGAGCTAAAAAATATTCAAAACGCTACAAACCCAAAACACTGGGCAATGAGTATGTAACTGGTACAGCTTTGATCCCTTGACAATGAACTGTGTTGCACAGCAAAGTTGTGAAATACTTCTCTCCATACGTACGTATATACATAGAGTTACTTACAAAATGTTATTTTTATTCATGCATCTGTTTGTGAATCAAATTAAGAACCAAAGCAGGCCTTTTAAACACTATCCAAATCCTGGATTCTCCCAGCTTCAGCAAGTTCAGCAGCTAGAGAAACCAGACAAGCGGTTCTCAATTGCCAGGAGCATCCCTATGGGGCTGGCCAGGAGAAAGATGGTTTGAGAACTGCTGCGCTAAGCCATGGCTGTCACAGTTGTCATCACTTAGTAAGTAACCTTCATTAAAAAGGGGGAACTCTGATCATTCAAGTACGTTTAAACATGCTTACACCCTGTCATGTATGCATAAGGTGTGTACTCAAAACACCTTGCATGCCTCAAAAATAAGGAAAGGTAAAAAGTAAGTAACAGGAATTAAAAAAGGCTTTATACAGTAGTACTACATTCATTCACAGTGCATATTCTGGAAAATAAGAATTACAATACAAACTAGATAGCTTAATTACCCCCCAAATGATTACACACATCCATGAGGGGGAAGAGAAATGTTCACAGAACTGTCAGCTTTCTGTTTCCAGAAGCATCTTCCATTCGAACTGCGTTAATACAACCCTCTTTCAAATACATATGTGTATCCCAAGAAGACTGGAAAGAGTGGACATCCTGTCACAAACTCACTCATGTCTTCACACGTATCCCAAGTGGTAGGCTCAGAGCCAGGAGGAGACAAAAAGCCTCCATCCTCACACCAGCCAATTCCTGAATCTGTCTGTATACTAACTCTCGTGCCGCTGAGTAAACTGTGAATGTCTTCAAACCTTAAGGGGCTGGGGCAGGGTGGGAGGAAAAATTCAAGCAGAATTTTATTCTAGCATCGTCTTGACACAAGACAAAATTACCATGCTGAGCCGAACCAACTGAAAACTTCTTTTAAATTACAAGCATAAATAGTTTAGCTGTCTTTTTGGTGAGTTCAACAGAATGCACGCTGAGAATGTTTACTTGAGATCTGATACCATTCTGTTTGTATACAGCTTTTTACATCTGTTGCTGATGATATCAAATCATTGATCGTTCACTTTCTTATATTTATTTAAACATTAACTATAGACTCGGCAACCTAATGCTTTTCCCCCCTTTTTTCCCCCTTTTTCCAGAGAACTTATTTTTGCCTGGCTTCAGTTGTAATTACTTTGATCTTCCAGAGTGTACAATTATTTTACTGTTTATTTATTTCTATGAGAAAGGAAAAAAGTTTGACCTAGGAGATCTATATGTGGCAATTTGTAACAGAATCACATAGCTTATGTTTAGGAAATCATGGTTTTGATTAAGAAGCAACCATTTAGTTCCCACTGTTTTATTAAAACAGACATTAGCAGATAATAGGAAACACATTTAGCACTGTAGGCTGCATCTAGTTTGCAACATCAGTAAAGTTATTTTGAAGCCCCTTCCAATTTTGCATTCGCCATAGCCCATGTGAATTGTTTTTTGCTTTTACTTTCTAATAACCAGCTTCAGAGTTACACATGGATATGGGTGCTGGTCCCAAAGAGTCTCAATTATAGTTTTTACCCAACCTATTCAGATTATAACCTAAAAATATTAATTGCTGCATCATCCGTCCACCTTCATGGAAAAACTAAGTCCATTTCAAAAATTATTATTAAAGGAGCATGTGGTGACTGAAGCATGTAACTGAAGTCACTGATTTTGCATACTAACTGAGCTGTCCTGTATGAATATCTGGCTACAGAAAAGAAACAAAATGAGATGAAAACACAAATAATGAGAAATTGAAACGACCCAAAGAAGTGCCGAAGTCTTTGTTTCCAGGGGGTTTAGATTACTGCCCTGAAGTTGTATGACTGTTTATTCTCCATGCACCACTGTACCTGCCATAGACTCTTTGTTTTCTCTCCCACTCATATGGTTGATGAATCAACACCACTTGAACTGCTTTATAGCAGCTTGTGTTTACTTCACACATACCTTAACCTTCCTTTTTCTCCTCCTACTAACACACACATACACTTCCAAACAGCAGCGACTGGCTGTGTTTCTTTGAATAGCACAGATACCGAGTTATCTGGCAAACTCTTCAGGTTTGGATCCTTGACCTTTTGATTGAGGTTTTATACTGCTTTTACTGCACTCAACAATTTAACTGTGCACTTACTAAGTAAAAAAAAGTAAGAGCTTAAAGAATTCAATGCTCGAAGAATGGAAGAAAGTGGAAGACAGCAGTATGCTAGAAACACTCAGAACCTGTAGTGCCATCTTTACAGTTAAGAACACTACAGTTAAGGGCTTCCAGTGCCTCTGCAACTGGCACCCTTGCCCAGTTTGGAAAAAAAGAAGGTGGGGAAGGAGGGAAACCTGTCTCTATTCTCCCAGAATGGCAAGTAAAAGCGAATGGTGATGACCTTGAAGCTGTTTGATTCCTTTGATTGTTTTTTAACCAAGGGGATATGTTAGATCACTTTGAATAAAATTCTTTTATTAAGAGACCATTTAGAGCAAAGAAACCATTTAGAGAAAATTTTCAGAGTCATACAATGGCAATTTAGAGAGAAAAGAAACTATGCAGTTCCCCTGGCACGAGGGTAACCGTGTACTAAGATACTGAATCAACATCTTTACTTCAAGCCTAAAAATTTTAGTAGGTGAAAACCAACACCTCCACTTCCTCATCTGCATTGTTACCCTACTTCTACCTGAAAAAGATCTTCCTTCTACACAAATAATTTTAGCATAAAGCATTCTGTTTTTTTAAATCCCCTAGTGAAAATCTAATCACTGCATAGCCCAAGCCTGAGCCTCTTACAGGTATGCTCCACACAGAGCAGACATGCAGAGGAAAACCAGATGCCTCAGAACTTGTTCTGGTATTTCATGCAATTTTGTTTCGTGTGTTCCTAACTCAAGCAGCAGACTCTCCATGGTATTATTATGCAGATTTCTAGTCTGTCTTATGGAAACTAAACAAGCAACCTTTCACAGTGCATGTATGCCAGCTGTTTAAGAGAAAAAGAGGGCAGACTCTTTGAAGCTGCTAATCTTCATGCAACTAAAACTACAATGGCTTCTCAAGGAGGACAGGACATTACCCTATTTCTGCATAATGTTTTGGATCCTGTTATGATTTTCCTGGCCACTGAAAGGATCACAGGCAGAAACAACAAAAACAGCTTACATCTTCTTTCAGACAATGAATCTTCTCTTCAGTGGTGTAATGGAGAGAAAAACTATGAAAAACCTATCACAGAGTAAAGCAGCTCTCCAAGGCTGATAAACACTTGAGGGGAGAGGAGCCAGTTGGTATTGTGGAAAAGCTTTTGACTATCCCCCAATATCCTACTCAAAGCACACGTGTATTTTAAAACAAAAAACCTACCAAAACAAATGGTCCAGTACACACCTAAGTGTCTTCCCAAAGGAAAGGATGGATAAAAGAACAAACTACACATGGGGGATGCTTGTCACATCATTTTGTGTACTATTAAAAGGTGATCAAACGTTTCAGTAGTGAGCATGGGATGAACTGACACAGTAATTCTACTGCCTCAGGCATTCACTGCCAATCAGCTAACACAATTTCACTGCAGAAAAAGCACAAACAATATACAATGGGCTGTTTTCATCTTAAATTTAGTGGATGCAGCACTTTGTTATTTAGAGCAACATCTCCTAATAGTCAGATATTAAATCTTCTATTGGTAACCAGATTCACATGATAAAACATGGCAGGCGTGCCAGTACACTCTGCAGAACTGAAAACAGAAAACAAGGGCACACGTAACTTAGATGGATTTTTTCAGCTTTCATGAATAAAATGCAACTAAGGTAATTTACACAGCAGTTTAACTTTCAAATCCTGAGATACTGGAAGATTTTTTTTCCCAGAACGTTTTAGCTTAATTCAAAACACAGTTGATCTTTCAGCACAACTAAATGGGATATTTCAAGCATGTTTTAAATGACCTGTGTTTTCATACCAGCCTTGTTTGCAAAGTACAAGATTTAATTTCAAATGTGCTGTGACTCTGCCCTCTTTGTAGACAAATTCACTGATATTATTATAGCTTATTATCACTTTTACTTAAGGCAAATCCTCTCAAACTGTCAGCAGAAGTTCAAGAACTTGGAAAGTCATAAAAAATCAATTTACCTTTAATCTTCTTGTACTTTTTGTACCATCTCCCAAACTCCTGGCACTTGGTTGCTGACACATTGGCATAGTATGTGCTATTTACAATGGATGAAATCATACTCTGGAAGTACAAAAAGAAAGACAAAAAGTGTTTTCAAATATCTTCCACAATTAGAGATCTATTCCAGGAAAAGCAAATGACATGAGAGTGCACCATGTTCCATTTGTGACTTTAAAACTAGAAGAGGCATCTAACAAGTAAAAACTTTGGTTTCATTCTCCATGGTCCCAGCCATAATTAAAATTACAAAATAATAATTATTGTTTTGCATAATAATGTAAGAAAGATTAGAATGAACCTAGGCTGAGACCTGCAGCTCAGGCGGGCAGGGCAATTCCACTTCAGTTTTTACTTGCCTTATTAAAACATCCAAGCTTGAGTTGTGTAACAACAGGCAGTGCCATGCTGGGGAAAATATGCTCACTGCACCCGGGTGAGAACAAGCATGATTTAGTTACCAGGTCCTAAAGGTAAGATTAGATGCTTCAGCATGCATAATCCAAATAATGCTTTTCAGATGTCTCTCAGATATGTTTCCAAATGCAACACCATCACACAGCCAAGAATTGGAGAACATCCGTGCTACTCAGTGCAGAACAAGTTAGGCAAATAAGTTAACTTAATATGATTTACAGAAACGTGTGATTAGCCCTTGTGTGAAAAATCACCCGAAAGGGAAATTAACAGTGCCATTCAGAGGTAAGGGAACTACACGTACTACAACACAGAACAGCCAAAAACCACAAAAAGCTCAACAAAACAGAAATATCACTTCACCACCAATCCTCTCTATTCTTGATGAATTCCCCCTCTAACTGATTCTTAGTACAAGCCAACTGAAGCAGAGAGGTGCAGAGCTGTTCTGCAGCACCTGATCCCCAACAATATTATACTTTAGACCTATGACGCTTTTGCCCATAGGGTGGGAAGCAGCCTGTGTACTGGCAGTTCTTCCTTTCTATTTTTTCCCCCTCCCTTCATCCACTTTACAGAGGAGACGTCTTTTTAACAATAAAATTTTGCTTTCCTTTTTCCCCCTCTGAATTCTTCCAAGGTCAAATCATTCCAGCACATGTACATTTCCAGTAAGGAAATGCAACCTAACACCATTAACGCATGGGGAGCCAACGCATCTTCTGCAGAAATCACATTTTCCTTATGCCCTCCTTCCTCACTTACGATAAAGCTCAGAAAAAGCCCTGGCACATTGTATGACCTTTCTGCACAGAGATGAGGAGAGTGAGGATGATCTCACAGCTCAAACAAGCTACCAACTGTAGGTTCAAGTTCTAGCCCACTGGCTCCTGCAGGCTCTTGTACAAAATGGGATCTTGGCCATCTCTGGAAAGCTACAAGGCTTACACATTGGCTTACTCAATTTTAACAATGCTTTAGAAACAAAAACATCCCCTCCCTCTTCCAGATTTATCCAGCCTTCTACCCACTTCACTGCAGTATCACAGGCCTCCAGCTGTTCCTGAACTCTTGAGTTTTGGAGACTTAAAAACTGTGAGCAAAACTGAGAGACTTGAGTTAACTGCATAGTACACATCGGTTCAGGCCTCAACAGGTATTTTCACTTTCAGTGAACAGTCTCTTCTGCCTTTGAACTTGAACTTTTCCGCTCGAAGGCTGCTCCGGTGCACTGCAGTAGCGTCTGAAGGCTATGAAGTAAGCGCCTTTTTAAGCAGCAGCTTCAATCTCTAAATCTGAGGTTCAATTTTCTAATTAAAATCAATATTTTGAGACATAAACCTAGCATTGTGGCAGTCAGCAGCAATTCCCTGCCCATAAATCCTCCCTTTCTCTAAGTCATTTTAACAAGCAATAGTATTCTGAAAGCCTGACATGGAGATAGCCCCTGCTAAGGAAAGATTCTGAACAAAGCTGAGCTGAGGCAACTTGGGGGTTTTTAGTATCACTTTGGTTAAATTCCCAGTCAGTAAGGAAGGGTGGGGAAATTGTTTAACTCAATCTACATAACAATTTGGGTTTTCCCCCTTTTTCCCCCTTCCACAAAATCCTCTACCTCTACAACAAATCAATATTATTGAAATTGGAGGGCTATTAAATATGACAGAATATATTAACCCGTTAACCTTTATTTGAGAAAGCAAAGTTTAAACTAAATAGTAAAATCAAACAGTAAATCAACCATTGGTGAAAAACCCCAGGACAGAGTCTCTTCAACTGCCTGACAGTAGAGCAGGGGAAAGAACCATGATAACTTTCAAATTATATATCCTCACAATTAAATGTAAAGGAACAACAGGGGTATTTCTAATAGGAATCTCAGCAAGTCTGCAGAAAGGAAGTATCTGTTCAGAAGAGAGTGGCAAAAAAAACCCACTAATTGCAAAATTCTAAAAAATGCATATTATTCCTGGGAAAAATCCTTAAGGAGGAATAGATTATAATAAGCAGCGAATATGGTTGGTATGTGTGCAGCCATGACACATGTGGAATGCAAACTACTTAGACCATGAGGGAGCTAAGAAATATCCACACAAAGAAAATTCGGTGCACTAAGTTCAAGGAGAAAAATATGGAATGCACTCACATCCCAAGTAATCTTGCTCCAGCAAAGGGACAAAATGAATGGCCACTGCTGAAATGAGTTATACAATACACAGGAAAGACAGAGGTCTCTATGCAAAGATAGAAATGCTGGAATAATTGGATTTCTTTCTGCCACACACACTTCCCCCAGCCTATCCTCCTTCGCCCCAGCTTGGTTAACTGGGATTTATGTGTTTGAACAGGAGCCGTATGCTACGGGTAGCTAAGCTGCAGCCACATAATACACCTAGCAGAAAAAAACAGAACAATTTTAAATCAAAGTGAATGATTACATTTCCCATTAGTGGCAATCAGAATCCCCATCTGGGCTGCATGGAGAGCTCAGGCACCGGGAACCAGAGATGGAGCACCATCACTGGTGGAAGCAAGAGCTCCCTGCGCTGCCCCTCTCCACTGCTGTACTTGAGGCACTGTGAACACATTAATAAACAGCAGCATTTACTCTGCAGTCTGACTCCTAAGAGACCACTCTGCAATTTGCTGCTGTCAATAATATATTAACCACAAGGGGGTTGTAATGACATTTCACATTTGGCACGATATTTTTTTAAAACTGATTTGGGAGAAGGAATTGTATTAGAGGCATATTCAGATGATGGCAACAGACAGCTCCTATACAACCTTCCATTGTATCTTCTGCATTTTGTGAGCCAAAACAAAAGAGATGGAAACTTTTTATGGCAATAGTAATAATAATAAATAAGAACAATAATAATAGCAGCTGCATTCTTGCAGTCCCAGTTCAAGGGCGAGCTTAGTAACTCAAGGTCACTTACACACGTGCTTGAAAGTAAGCAAGCTCAGTTTTCTACAGAAGGATCTCCTTTTAGATTTGCCCACTAAATAAGTACTGGGGCCAGGATTTTTCCTGCTGCAGTTCTCCCATCATAATTTTGTAAATGTATTTCAGACTGAGGCTATAGAAAGAGTAAACCAACTGCAGCATTTCCACCTGCTAGGCTCTGAAATTGAAGTGGGAGGAAGAAGTCCCAGACAACAAAAGATTTGTGCATATGAAATGATGTATAGTTTAGTTATCCTGGATACTGAAGAAGAATGGGCAGACACAACCATATGCTGCAATCATCATTAGCTGACCAGGTTCCACAGATAATTCTATTTAAAGAAATTACACTTAAACTGTGTGAAAGAAAAAATACTTTCGTGTTCAATGCACGCTTACGCTCTGTAGAGTCACTGCTACTCCTTTAGTAAATAAAATAAGGCAAGTTACATGGCTTTTCCTTATACAGCCTTTCCATTCTTGTTGATTCTGCAGACCCCCGTATGGATAAGGAAGATGAGGAACATGATGCCCACCAATTGCAAAGGCCTACACTCTGCTCTGTATCTCATCTCTGGTGCTTATACACAGAAAGAATTCTCTTGGTTCACAGAGGCTTTGGATCACAAATTGCAGGATGAGCATACAGTGCAACGCAAGACAGGCAACCACAGGAGAAAAAGTGTTGGATACAGGCTAGCAAAGCAACAGATTTTTAGCAAGCAGAGATTACTGATGTTTTGACTTTTTTAGATTAACCAACGATGCTAATAGGTTTTTTAGAAGGCAATTATTCACTCCTAAGCAAGTGACTTGGCCTGGGTGCTGAAGTTTTCAGTCATGAATTTTTTATTGATTTCTCATTATGAAACCTAAAGAACAAGTAAGAGCTAATGAGATCTGTAGGAACCTGTGTCTCAGACATGACACTACTGCTGTTTGTAAAGCAGTCACGGAGAATGAGACTGAGTTTTTGTTCTTTTTTTTATCATAACTATGTATACACTTTTTGGTGCTGTTTCCTAGAAATTGGGGCACAACTGTTAAAAGAGCCTATTTTTATCATAGTTGGAGGCTGAAGAGAGCTACCTATGGGTTAGTAGGGGAAGCAGACCTCCACTAGTGAGAAGCTGCCACTCAAATCTTGCATTTGAGGATCACTAGTCCTGTTGCAAAAGGTTCATATAAAGGTCTAAGTAACGGATTTACATCTCTGTGAACAGCAGGATAAAACTCAACAAATTCATTCCTAATTTCCACCTGGAAATGCACTAAGAAAATACTGTATGATCTTTTTCATATTAATTATAATTTCTCCTTTCTAAAGAAAACCAGAAACCTACTTGGTATTTATGGAATTGGTTCATCTATGACCTTTACTGAACAAGAACAAACTTTAGATCTTATAAATTTGGCTTTCCCTAAGCCTGTTAAAAACACTGACCTGTGAGAGAGGGCATTCTTTGGCTAATGTGCTCTGATTCATCTCTTTGAGCAGTTCCTTTAAGGCATTGCGAACTGTGGCGTGGTTCCACTGCTCTGCTGGCAAGTCTTCCAACTTTGAACAACTGTTAAAAAACGGAAAGCAAAAAGCAGACAGAAACATTACCTTCACAGATGCTTACTCTTTGCATACAAGCACTGCAGACCTTTAAGCAGTGAGCACAACCTAGCAGATACCTGCTTAGCCAGCCAATCAAGGTCTGTCTTCCCTTTTTCCCCTCCTCACCAAGCCTGACTCCCAGAAGATGTGTGTTTCAACTAAAGAATGACAGTACATGGCAGGAATATCAGCTAATCCTACTACAGTATTATATGTGTACAACCATTCCCTCTGGGGCCTCAAGGAGAGCAAAGAAACTTCAGTCAGAGAAAGATACTCCTGCTGGGATAGAAAAATAAACGTATATACCACCCTGTCACTAACAAAATCCCTAAAGAGTAAAGGTCTTCATTGTGTGGAGGTGGGGCTTTGAGCAATGAACTTCATGTTATGCAGGTTCTTATTGCTGCCCTCAGGGCTGAAGTATCCAGGAGCCTTTCAGAAACCCATTAAGCCATATGCCCAAGATCTGTCACGTGTAGTTTGTTCTCACTTTCATTCTACAACTGCATATCTAGCAAAGCTTTTGACTTTCTGTGACTTGTGCCTCTTTCAATTTAACAAGCATACAGTTTGTACCTACATATATGGGGATACACCTGAGAAGCACATCAGAAAGTTGGGAGAAGCTTGGCATTGCCATTCATGCCTGAGAGACTTAACACATGCTCTCCAATCAACCTCTGAGGTTGCTCTGCCTATAGAGTCTGGCCCTTGGAGTTGAAAGTTCAGTTACACTTGAGGAGTTCAAGTAGTCAATGACCATCTTTATCTCAAAGACAAGGGCTGTCTTTTATTTACATTTCATCTAGGCATTCAAGCACTTTGAAGATAAAGAATGAGACCTTGATCTTGTGCTGATACCCTCCAGTGATACAAATGTGACCGTAAGCTAGATGGACTCCTGGTACCTCGCGCATCTGAGGAGATGAGTTACCCCACTCCAGTTTTATAGCAGCTGCAGGCTCTAGATGCTCTTTTACAACTATGCTGCAGAGATACAGTCTAGCTGAGAAATGATAACAGTATATAAAGCCAAGGAAAGGCCTATTAGAAGGAACTGGAAACCCCAAGCTCCATCAGAGATGTAACAGGAAAGAAACGTTGCTGTTTGAGAGGCTAATGTCAGTGAGGCACTAGCTACTTTCAAATTACAAATTGAACTGAACAGTTGGAGGATATATACCTGCCACCAAAGGACACACACACACATCCCAGTGGAGCCCTCTTCTTTCTAGTTGAGCTTCAAAGAACTGTGAGCAAATTATTCCAGTCTGCCTGTTATTTCTGCCTCTTTCCTGGCCACAGAGCTACAGGAGACTGTGCAATGCAGGCTTACCAGCAGATTTAGAGTATGCCATGCACTGCCAGGGGCCTGCCACAACTCCTTATGCCGACATCAGTAACTATTTGAGGACTCTTTTGAAGGTCAATAGACAGAAAGGGAGAGAAAAAGAAGTGGGGTGGGTGGGGGCACGTAAGTGTAAAAGCATCAGGAGCTTTTGCTTTGCTAATCAGAACTAGCAGGAAGGAAAATATGTAGTAACACATCCCTTCCTCATCTTCTTGCCTTTCCACTGGGAAGGCCACTGGAGAAAAAAGAAAAGTCAAAAAGCTCCCCTCCTCCCCACAAGGAAGACCTGGATTCTCACAATGCAGTCCTAAAAAAAAGGCAAGTTTGTTGTTTTGATGCAATAAGGCCTCAATAACCCATTAAATTAGGAATTGTGGAAAGGTCTGCCTTTAAAGGCCCCATATCTGTACTTAATTGAGTTGCTGGCCCTCCCCTCCCTACGACCACGTTGCTCCTTTAAAAACCATACAGATCAGTTAAAACATGCAGCAAAAAGCTGCAGGTGACCCACCATTCTCTTAATTTTTCTTTTCATTTCATCAAAAGACCAGAAATTAATGAAGACAGGATGTGCTAATCTCTGTAGTAATGCTGTAATCGGCAGAGCAGCTCAGAGAATAGAGAAGGACAGATGTTCAGAAACACCCACCTTTGTAATTGGATTTTCAATGTCACAACATGATAGACATCTTGTAGCATGTCGGCTACTGTCGCATCTGGTGCATCAGTCACATAACTGAGAGGGAGGGGATTCCACCTCCCAAGCTTGATTATTCCTGAGAAGGAAACAAAAAAATTATATTTTATATTTTACCAGCCATTTACTAAACACTTTGATAAGCTTGTTTGCTCATGAAATTCATGATCTGCCTTGAGGTTTAATGCAGTCTTGCTCAGAAAGATGTGCTGTACTGACTCCTGAAGCAAACAATAGAGAAGAGTAGGAATAGCTTTTAAATGCTTAGCAGAGAGCTGCTGACATGTTTCTGGCTCTTAAATTACTTCAAGGAAGCACAGGAGGCTTCCTCCCTTCACATCTTTCGTCATCCCACTAAAGCCTAGTTCTCTAAGTTAGAACAAGCTTTAAATATTCTGTAGTCCCAATTTTGCAGTCTACAAAACCCTTCAGTAAATAAATGCATTAGTTTTGACTTGAAGAGGAAAATTCCTATGTGTGGGCTTTCAGCACACAGTTACAATCTAAGCACGGTACTATTCCCAGTGTGGATGGATAGCACTGGAAATCCACCAAGTAGGAAGAGTTCACTCCCAGCTACAAGTTGCACCATGCAGACAGTTGCTTTTCTTTGTGGAAAAAAAAACAACTGCAAGAAGCTGACCACAGATCCAAAATAGCATTTTGGGGGCGGGGGAGAATGCTGTAAGTTCTATTTCTACTTCTGTTCATTCTTTAACAGGGATCATCACCTCTTGTATGAGCTTGTCACACTGTCAACTTGGATGGGAAACCATTTGGTGCAGAGGTATTATTTCTATTTAGACAATTGCAGAGGGCCCACCCACACCAAAAACAATGACTAATACCAGGAATGACTTCCAGGAAGATGCCAAACAAAGAAACCCACAGTGCCATCTTACATGAGAGCAAAGTGGTTCAGCCTTTTTCTGCTTGCCAACTACTGCTTCTATTCCCTCCTCCACTGTGTTCCCAGTGCCTCACTCTTCTGCTCACATAACTTTTCTCAGCACCACCTTACAAGACACCAGTAACCTTTTCTCTTTTCTCCCATTTAAACTGATGCCTTTTAAGGTTTGCTTATTTACTTTTTGATCTTCAGCAACACCATCTGTAAACACTACTGCCAAAAATACACTAACACACTAATACATATGAAAACTACTTCCTCTGTGATAACACAAGCTCTGAGAAACCTCTTTGCATATCTGGAAAGACACTGTGATGTCAAGAAACTTCAACCCTCTCCTCACTTTCTCCTCCCAGCTATTCGCCAGTTCTGCAAGTAATCAAACTGAAATAAATTGCAAAAGCTTTTCATCCTGATCTCCCAAATATGATCATAAGTACCACCTTGAAACACTGAAAAAAAGCTTCTTGCACCGAGACAGTAACAGAACACAATGCTTATGAGCCCATGAATTAACCTGCTACAGAATATTTTCCCCCCATTCCTATACAGGTTGAAGAGAAAGTAATTTTAGTACAACTCCTTTTCTGTAGAACTTCAGTCTTTGCATTTACCACTGACATATTGCTTTGCAAGGTATTCTATCATCACACACTGAAAGAAGCTGGAAGTGACCTAAGTCATCCCCAGTGGCACAAAGTTTCACTGTAACATGCTGGTACAGACGGGCTAATATTTCAACAGGCCATTAGAAGGCGTTTGGCAAGGGGAGATCTTGTCCAAATGAAACAAAAAGTTAGTAAGTGCTGCTTGATATCCAATGCTTGAAAATGGGACATAAACAGAACAAAAACATTTAAATGATGCACTGTTTCAGTATTAAGATTTAACAATCTGGTGCTGAATATGCTGCAGTATAAATAGTGCCTGGACTCAGATCCAGTAAAGTAACACACAGCACTCATTCACAGCACCGTATGTCTCCAGTGCTGGCTCCTTGAGTCATATTCCACTTGCCAAGAAAAGCTGTTTTTCTTAAGGGGATAGTTTACTTAATGTTATCTCTGGTGACAACAAGAAATGCATATAGTACAGCATATATTAGTCATGAAATGAGCATCAAGGGTCCACCGAGTGTAATACATGCTGGGAAAACACAGTTTAGCTGCTGACTTCCTTCACCCCCTTCTGCTATATAATAATTTAAAGCAAAAATCACCTAAAAATCCAGAAATCTATACCAGCTTCACAGAACACTTGGCTTCCTATGTTTAACCACGCCAAGTTCTCATGTAATTGAAAAAATAAGCATCATATGTGCCCCATAAGTCACATCTAAATTGGTAATATTTTACAAGAGGCTTTATTTTTCATTCAATTAAGGAAAGCACTCGAAGAGCACACCATCTGCAACTGCTCGGGCCTGGCAATGCTGGCAGGAGACAGAGATGGTCGCGGGGTCAACGAAGTTACCAAAGGTGTCCCCAAACTAAGAAGGGTTTATAGGGGAACACCACAGCACAGCCAGCGTGCACCACGGGAAATCCTACCCAAATAGCTCTACTGGAAACGTCTGCTACTACTGGAAGTGAGGTGGGTTTTATTTCTTTTTTCTAATCCTCCCCTACAACTGGAGAGGAAATTGTTTTGGCTGGATTTAGACAAACACAGGTGTTACCATAATGCTCGGTGCCTCTGCACGTTAGCACCTGCTGCGAGTCCTTTACTCCGCGTTGCAGCACTGCTGATGTACGCTGTTTTTTCAGCCGGTCTGATATGACGTGTGAAATTCTTTTCCAGAGCACATTAAGCTGGTCCAAATGATAGCCAGAAGCCATGGTTTCCATCCAGCTTCCCAGCAGACTTCACAGGTGGTTTATTTCATGGCACTGTACTTAAAGCAACTCTTGGGTTGCATATGGGAAGAGGATGCCAGCTTGTCGAGCAAGCGACATCTCTGAGTGACTCAGGGGAGACCTTATAGCAGCCTTCTAATACCTAAAAGGGGTCTACCAGAAATCTGGAGAGGCACTTTTTACAAGAGGATGTAATGACAGGACAAGGGGCAACGGTTTTAAGATGACAGAGGAGAGATTTAGATTAGACATTAGGAAGAAGCTCTTTCCTGTGAAGGTGGTGAGACTGGCACAGGGTGCCCATAGAAGCTGTGGCTGCCCCATCCCTGGCAGTGTTCAGCACCACGTTGGACGGAGCTTGGAGCAACCTGCTCCAATGGAAGGTGTCCCTGCCCACGGCAGGGAGCTGCAACTGGATGAGCTTTAAGGTCCCTTCCAACCCAAACCATTCTGTGACTCTATGACTCCACAGTAAAACCTGAGTAAACCAGAATTTTCCCGGTAAAAGGGTCCCTTCTCATTGAGGACTGGGTGTTTCTAGTGTTATAGCAACCCCAACATGAGAACAGCCTGGTAGCAAGGGGTCAGTTCCACATCATTGATTTTTATTGCTCCTCTCATTGACTCCAAGTGGTACAGCTCAGGCCTTTAAGGAAATCATTTTAACTAGTCTGACTGACCTTTTGTCCTCTCACAACTGAGACATGGAATGGGGACAGGAATGAGCAATGGTCATAGATGTCACTAACAGTGTTATTAATTAATGTACTACTGCTCCAGGAGTATCACTGCTCTGTCAGCTCCAGACTTGCTCAAGATTGTGTGTGGATAATGTGCAGCAGACCAAATTGCTCAGGAAATCTGAAAGCACATCTTCTATGAGTTCACAAAACTCCTCTGTTAATAAGTCTGGTTCTCCTTTCTCTGTCAATGGTCCTTTTAGACTCTTTTCTTGTATGAGCTTTTTGAAGGGAGAGTTCAACAGATTTCAAAGCTTGCACAGACTGGAGAAATGGCTGAACTAGAACAGCTCTCAGGAAATCATCTAGAAATGTCTGAACACAGCCCAGGCCACATAGATAATTAAAGACAATAAGCAGACCAAACAGTTGTCTCAAAAGATTTCACCCCCAACCCCTTCATATTTTAGAAGAGATTCTCTAATCCATGCTGGCTGCTGGTTCTTGAATGGTGTGTTCTTCTACAGACAGGCTTTGTATGAAGCTAAATGCTTCACCAGAATGCAGATAGGGAGAAAAGAAAGAATAACCCAAGTAAAAATATGTGTAACAACTTTTACCCACAAGAATGCCAGAACATTCTTCAAACTTCAGTAAGCTCAAGTGTCAGGTTCGTACATAACAACCACTGCAATTCACTGCCGCTGTTCCAGTGTGGCCAACAGTGTGCCACCATCCCAGAGTGCTTTCAATTTACTTTCATTGAAAATGCAGCTCATTTGGAGAAGAATGTGATAACTATGCAAATCAAAGTAGAACAATACACTGAACATAAGCCCTGACCAACTACCTCATGGCTGATCTCAATACCTAGTAAACATTATTTACCTGTATGGGCTAGGAGCCTCTTTTGTCTTTGCAAATGGACAGATAACCACACAATACCCTCATTCTAAGAATGCCACATCTGGGGTTTAGAGTATGTATCTCATAGTTTAGCTATGACACTGCCTGCCATTTTCCAAATTGCTTTTTGCAGTTAAACAAATCAAACAGTACCAGAACATGCCTCACGCTGTCACTGGTTACCTTCAGAGAGTATTCCCATCTCCCGCCACGGCTAGACTCCTGATTTCACCTTTCACAAATTATAAGCATACCTGAGGTACATCTTGAATGGATACTTGTATGTATGTTATGCAGGATTAACTCAACTTTATTTAAAATCCTACTCTGTGAGGGTTAAAATTAAGGAATCAAATGAAGAACACTTTGGAACTTCCTATCAGCATCACCACCCCCACCTCAACATTTTTCTGGAGACAGCTACAAAATGAATCACAAGTAATACTTGCCCAAATATGTACACAGAGGGATAGAGAAGGAATTTTGTGCTCTTTGGATAAAGGGAAAAAGAAGGATAGCAGAGGACACTGATTCCTTACCAAACTTTGTTAAGAAAAGCACTTGCCAACACTAAGCAGACAAACCAACTGAATCCCTGATGCACAACACCAAAATCTCTCATTTTCTACAGCATAAGCAAATGTGTGCTGAGACTCACACAGGGTGAAGTGTTAAAGCAGACCATTGTTCTCCTAGTGGATTGATGGACACACTCAGGCTGGAAACT